AGAAACGGTACTTCTCTCGCGCCCGTGTGTGTTTCTACGTCTTTCGCACGATTCACGTGATCCGACAACCGGCAGGCCGAAAACTTTGAACCGCTCGCCTCCATCGAAATTTCAAATGTTCGCGCCTCCGCGCGCCATTTTTGAACTTTTGTTTATTTTACGAGATTCAACTTACCGATCGTGCAGAAACACGAGCGTTTTGCAAAAATCATTTTCGTTCGAAATTATTCAAGAGTCTGATGACCAATGAAAAATTATTTGCTCTAATTTTATTTATAATCAGTAGCATGCACATTAAAAAAAAAAAAAAGAAAAAGAACAAAGTTCGATAAGAGAGAAAGATGAAGACTTTGACTAAACTTTCATTTGACAATTGTTGAAACCTATGTTCTCTTCGAACTACATATATATTCGCATTATTGGCTGTGATGTTTTAAGACGAAAATTATCTTTCTCCTCTTCAACGTCAACGAAAGAGAATGCTGCGAATATTCGAGGATAAACGTTTAGCCAGAAGCAAAGAGACACATATTATTGACAGAAAGGTAGACGGTACGCACGCACGTATTACACACAGTTTTTCGAGGTACAGAGCACATTCGAACACTTTCACAGCGGGGACAACCCCAGGGGAGAATCGGGACTCCTACAACCTGATCCTTAAATCACTGTAAGTCACTGGAGGGAGCCTTGACGATTTGCTCGAAAGAGAGAGAAAGAGAGAGAAAGAGAGAGAAGCATCCGGATGAAACGATCTCGTGGTAACCAGTAGCTAGTATGGAAGGCAGTCGAGCAGAAAGAAGCTACTACTCCGCCTCGAAGTCTACGCGCGATCACACCTCGCACCAGTTGATTTACCTTTCGAGCAATCCAACCACGTTCGATTGCGTTTAGCAATTATCACACACGCGACTACACGCTATTGTCTGTAAAGAGGAGAAAGAAAAAAAAATAGGTCGAGAAACGTGATGTCATGATCCCGCAAAGAGCCACACGAGAAACGACGCGTCTCGAACCGCGATAGCGGCTCCACTGGTGCACAAGGTGTACAACTTGTCCCGTCCGAAGTGCAGAACCCTCGCCAGCGCACTCGTGCAGCTGGAAGTCGAACTCCCGTCGACGGAGAGGACCAATCCTCTTTCGGGATTCGTTTGAAAGCGAGTGAACTGTTTGTATCGAGCGTTGAGTTCTTGCACAAATGCACTGAGACTGGTGGAAAAGATTGGGAAAAACAAATTTAGAAGAGGAGAGGAAGATTGACACGTTGACTACTCGGTCGTTTCTACTTTTGCAAATATCTTAGAATAATTAAAATATGATATAAAATATCATTTATATAGTATTATGGTACTATAGTATAGCTTTCGTCGTACTTTATTGCAATATAATATCTCATAAAAATAAAATATTTTGTTCCACAAACAGAACGTGTTACGTTTCGCATAGCAGCCAACGTGTTAATGGAGACAATTCCGTCGGTCTTCTTAATCTTTTTTTTTTTAGTAAGTAGTTCCTTACATCGGAATTTTTTATTACCTCTTTTCATACTTCAAACATGTAACTGATATGACAATATCTATGTGTTCAAGCGTCGAACGGTTTAACAATTGGGAAATAAATATAAACTGGCAACTGCTATTGCTCAATGATTTTATATTGAAGACGCTACAGTTTACACAAACATATGACTGCTCAAGTATGGCATATACAATTTGCGCCTAAATCTTTTAAGGAAACTTAACGCCTAAGAGTGAGGAAGTTCAACGTGTATCTGTGT